TTCCTTATCCCTATAGAAGAAGTTCTCTGTGCCCCCTAGTCTTCTCACATCCCCTTCCCCCAACCCCTCCAGGTCCAGTCTCAAACTCAGTCTCTTGCCTTCCTTTCTCCCTGGTCCAGCTTTTCTCCTTGCCACTTTTAATTCACATGGCTTACTCTTACATGACGAGTGGATCCTAACATAAGAGTAAGTGAGAACACAGAGCTAGAGATTCATTGTTCTCTGCTCCAGTGCCTCTATTACTCTGGCTTAGCATAGCTGGGAGCCCTGCTGTAACCCTGGGCAGGATGGCATACTTGTTCTGTGGGGATGGCACATGCACGGTTTGGAGTGGAGTATGGTCACTGTGGACAGAGTCTTTGGATATTTTAACTGCTGATGGAGGTGGTGAAAGAACACCCCTGACAAAGGCTACCCTTTATTTGATTTAAAGTCCCTGCACCAAGGAGCTGTTCAAAGGAAATGATGCTGGAATTTTTTAACATGGGAAAAATATGTATTTCTCCCTCCCTTCCCCCCTCCCCTTAGGTTTGTTCCTTTGGCATGGGGGGGGGGGCTGGAATCTGATATAGCTGACACAGCCGACATTTCAAGTCCCACATGCTTTAATACAGGCAAAGTTATATGCAACTACATTCCTTATATAAAGAGAACTATCAGGACATTCTAATACTAAGCAATGTTATGAGGTCCATAGATAATTTCAGCTGGAGGAAACTTGTCGTTTCATGGATAGATGCAGTGCTGATAGCTAATTGCACTGTCACTGGCACAGAACCACAAATTCTGAAAACACAAGAAGGGTCGGCTTTTTGGAAAAAAATATGGCTTTCTGGGACAAACCCTTATTTTCCCAGTCCTTTTTTGCAAGAAAACAGTGAGTCAAAGAGCTCTTTAGTGTTCTTATCAGCATCAAAAGCTCATCTTCTTCTGTTCTGTTAATGGGTCTATCGATGCACCCTGGATTTATATAGGTAATGTTAGTGAGAGCTACATATATTTTTCTCTGCATAGAAAAATGATAGCTCCAATTTTTCCTGTTTGTTTTTTTCAGTACCAATACACAGTCATGGTAAATTGTACAATATCAGGATACAGAAAATGCAGACATATTATGACCCTATTCAACCATACATAATGCATGTTTCAATTGTTTTCTCAAAAGCTGTATATCAATGGCCTCTTCTAAACAAGCTGCAAGCTGACATTTGTCAATTAATACGAGTCGCAAAGCTTGAAAAAGGACTCTAGTTCTGCAAGCAGAAAATGGCCAAAGGGAATATAGCGCAAGGAAAAAAAATATGAAGGGTACAGGCTGCATCACATGGATGACATTTACAATATATACTACAGAAATCAAGCAATTTTTTTTGATTTTTTTTCAAATGAATGAACTGTGTCAATATTTTTTAGTACTTTCAGCAGAAAAAGCCCCTTTCCTCCTTCAGTATTAAACATGTATATTTTATGCTGAACAAATTATGCATAATACATAATTGTATTATGATAAAGGTAATAGAAAAAATATCAGCCTTGATCTATTGGATATTTTTATTGGCCTCTTGCAATATCTTAGAATATCAATGCAGTTCAAGATGTGGTTTCATTTATTCTACTTTTGCTTTTCCAGTCTGATGCAAATATTTAGTGACCTTTTACTTTTTTTTTGAAGGGTGATTTTCTTTATCTAGTCATGTGAACATCAGAAATGTGTCCACTGACCTATTGCCTGATGTGCAGCCTCAGAAAACCACAATGCATTAGCTTTTAGAGCAGCCAGAGTGGCAGCATCAGAAGCATTAATATGAAGAGCAGATGGTTGTATGACAATTCACTTTATTCCCTATCTTCTCACTCTGTTATGCTGGGTTATTCTTGCCTTTACTATACAATAACAGAGGCTGTTTCTACAACACAGTGATATACATGTGGTAAATTGCACTGTGCTAATGCATACTGTTGCAGATTTACCTTAGGAGACCAAATAAATAGTTTCATGTTCTTGCTTTGAAACAATGGATGCACTCAAGCCTTTAAATCTCAGTCAAATGTTGCTACTGGTAAATATAATCAAAACGTATTCTGAGATCAATTTAGATTTAAAGGGCCACGTCTAGATGGGATGCTGACTGCACAGTAGCCCGTGACTACTGTACAATAGGACTGCATGGCAGGAAGCATGAGATGATGCCATGGTGCAGTAGTCATGAGCTTCTGCACAGTCAGCATCACGAAAAAGCCATTGCTCGCCACAACTGTGCAGTAACTCTGGTTACTGAGCAGTCATTTAGTACTTGTTTATACAAGTATTAAATAACTGTGCAGCAATGACTGTGCAGTCAATATCTCATGTAGACATGGCAGAGGTGTAGAAAGAAGACAAATAAAAATTATGATCCCAATCAAAAAAACTTTGTTAAGGAGTTAAAAGTGCAGTTCAGTGGAGTCTAGATCTCACTGGGTGCATCTACACATGAAATTAGTATAACACAATAAAGTCCGGCACAGATTTTGCTGGAGTTTATTGCTCACAGGCATCACATTTACACGTGCTCCTGGGACTGCAGCACATTGAGCCAGGGTGCCAAAGCCCCCAACTAGCAAGGGGGCCAAGGGGCCATCCTGCCAGCCTGAAGCTGCTCCCCCACACCACAAGCTTAATATGCTGTGGAGGAGCTGACTGTGGCACTGCAGCACCCTCATGCCCCAGCCAGCCCCGATCATCTACATGTGTGTTGTGATGGAGTGAATAACTCCACCAGAGAATAGTACTAGTCTACAGCAGAATTAATTAGTTTACTCCACCATAATAGCACTGCACATGTAGATGGTGACACTATACTGTGGGGCTAATTAGGCAACTCCACAGTAAGCATTTTGTGTAGAAGCCCTTCACTGCTTCCTTATTTGCCTTACTGGATTTTATAAGACTTACCTGATCAAAACACACTATTTATATCTAAATTTACAAATGTGTCCTTACCAGCACAGATCATGAAGGCTATGTTTTTCATAATGAAACCAAATGCTGATTTGCATATTAGTCCCTTAAACATATCAGCAACATACGTGGGAGGATAGACAACGACAAGGCATTATTAGTCTGAAAAGAATTATTCAT